GTTGACAGTTAATGTATGTTCTAGGTCCACTGCCTTACCTCTCGGTTGACAGTTAATGTATGTTCTAGGTCCACTGCCTTCCTGTCTTTGTCATTCAGTTTTTACTGTCATTAGAATGTGTCAACACTTTCCTGGCACAGTGGGTGGGAGTGAGATCATAATAAAGACAGAAGAGGAGAGAAAGCTGGATCAGGTGTCATGTCGGGCGGAGGGGAAAGCTTGATTTTGTAGTTTTCAATGTCTTTATTGAGTTCAAATTTGTCATTATCTTAATATGAACAATTTATGTTTAACACATTCAGCACGTTGTGCAACCATCACTTTCGTTTAGGTTCAAGAGAAGATAATGCTCTCAATAAGCAGTTTCTTCCAGGCCCTGGTAGCCACTGATCCGAGCTGTCTTTATGAGTTCACCTGTTCTGGGAATGAAATGGTGCATGTCGTCTTCCACAGTGGCATTTGTTTACCCACTGATGGACATTTGAGTGGTTTCTATATCTTGATGGGGGGTGTATTTGTCATCCTAACCCTGGAGAGTCAGAGACACAGGAGTCTCTGGGACATGCTGCCTGGCTGCTCTACCCAGTCTATGAGCTTTGGCTTCACAGTGAGAGTACATCTTCAAAAATAAAACGGAATGTGATTGAGGAAGATACAAGACATAAAGCCCTGGCTTCCAAACACATGCATGCTCACATGTATACACTCATCTACATACAAAACCATACACACACACACACACACACACACACACACACACACACACACACACCCCAAGCAGCATAGGAGACATTCTTTTTCTCTATGGAAAATACTCCAGTTACATAGAGAATTCTAGAAAACCCGAGGCTTGGAAAAGAGGCCCATCACTTCTGTATTGTGCTGTATCCTGGCTAAGTGTCAGCTCTTTCCCTTCCCATCAATTAGAACTCAGCCAGCTTCTCTCTAGCCTAGTTTGGTGCCTATCTGCCCCTCCATGGGACAGGCAAATGTTGAGGTGACCCATGCCCTACCCCTCGGCCAGAGTTAAATGCTTTCTAAAGACCCCCAACAGCACAGAGGCACTGCCAGGATCAGGGACAATACATCTTTGAAGAAAACTGTCTTATTAGTAGGTAGCTGGCTTTTCAATGCTGATAAATAAAAGGTGGCCAAGCAGCATGTTTCTTGTGAAAGTGCTGGTTTGAGGTTACTATCTGTTCTCTAAAAATGAATGTGTCTAGGAATTAAGCTCCTCTACTTTTCTTTGGGAAGTTATTGTTGGCTTGGAGTTAAATTTCATTAGGTCCCATTAATGTCAATCAAACTTTAAATTAAAAAAAATTTTTTAGAAATTGAGAAATAATTGGATAAAAGAGTCAGCATGGAGGATTTTAAATGAGAATGGGTTTATATTCATGTTAAAATCAAAATCTTGAGAACAGTAATTCTCCTCTCTGGCAATTTTTCCTAATTACCAGATATATTCACTTTGTGGGATTTACTTTAAGGAAATATTTTAGTAGAAAAATAGCTGTTCTAGAATTGATCCTATGGGTAGGTTTTGATTCCTTGGTTCTATATTTTCTATTTAGTCTCTTTATTGGACATGACCCTCCACTCTCTCGTTTTTCTACTAGTTCAGGAAACAATTTGATGTATGTGGCCCTCCATGTAGAGGTTTCTAAGTATTGTGCAGGCAGACAAGTGTGTCATAAGCCCACACTTGCCCTGGGAGGCAGCACAGGGAGCTGGCCCAGAGAGGCTGCAGGAGCAGAAGAAGGTGGCCCCGGCTGGCAAACCCACCAAGAGATCTGCAACCAGCTTTTCAGAACAACTCCAAGCCGGGTAGTGAGGCCCAAGCTGTACTCGGGCCCTAGGATGTGAGGTTGAGGCCTGGTTAATCCCAAGCTAAAGAGATTGGTGTTAGGGGTCTGATGGTCGGACTGTTCTCAGAGGTAATTTTGGTGTTGCCCATTCCTCTCTTCAAAGTGGAACAGACGAGAAATGAATGGTCATCTTCAACTGGAGCTGATGGTGTATTTTGCTTCCCAAAGCTGTTGCCCTTGCATTCCATGCCTGACACACCTTCTTTTCTGGATTCCCTCTGTTACATAACACTACTGGCTCAGATGCTGCAAGAGTTGTGTGCGGGTGGTGATGGTTGTGACAAAAGCCGGTGCCAGGAGGAAGGTCGAGGCTTATGTTCGAATCCAGGTGCTAGGACCTGACAGAGTTTCATTAGAGCTCCATGCAATGGGGATGTTTGAAGAGCATGCCAAAATAATTCTATCAGTAAAGCTGTCCATCTCATTGCTTTATTTTCTTTAGCAAAGTGACAAATTCAAGGGGAAAGCATCCAGATTGTTATGCAGACATCCCCAGAGTGGATTTGCTCCTAGCAGCCTGTATGCTCGTTTCTCGAGCATATGATCCTGGCCGACTTTCCCTCAGTAGCCTTCTAGTGAAGTCTCCATGATACTGTCTCTGAAAAGCAAAGCTCCAACCACCGCTTACCTTTGGCAAACTGAAACTCTGTCTGAAATCCAATTCAGTCTCCACTTCTTTGATGCATGAAGTAAAAAATAAATGCCATAAGAATAGCTAAAGAAAAAATGGGCTGGGAAATACTCCAGCCAACAAGTGTTTTTACAAGTGGGAGGACCTGAGTCACAAGAGTCGTGGGATTCCCAGAACCCCTGTGAAAAGAAGGCTGGCTTGAGGGTATACATTTGTAACCTCAGCACTGGGAGGGCAGAGGCAAGCTTGGAGCCTGCTGGTCACCCAGCCTTGCCTACCTGACAAGTTCTCTGACAGAATGCGGCTCTTTTCTAAAAAAGAAGATGGAGGAAAAGGAAGAGGAAGAGGAGGAGGAGGTAACTGAGGTAACTGAGCTCTGAGGAATTACATCTAAGGTTGATCTCAGGACTACACACACACACACACACACACACACACACACACACACAAGTGGTTGGGAGGGGGCAGACATAGGCCCACAAACATATGCAGACAGATATTTATGGAGTATATTATTATTATTATTATTATTATTATTATTATTATCAGTATGTTATCCGCATAGGACCAAATTTATAATTTACTTAATTAACAAAGCAAAACTCCACAATTAGAAATCAGAGTGACTGAATTTCTCATTGATTCTTAGGTCATGGAAGGTTTTACAAATATCACTGTCCCCAAAAGGATACCATATTTTCTAAGTCAGCTTTATCACTGGGCAGTGTACCACTCAAAATGCTTGTACTACAATTTGGCACCAAGGAGAAATGGGGATTTTAGAGCTTTGTTCTATTGAGCTACACTAAAAGCTTTGTGTCTAAGTAAAAACACTTCCTTTTTAAATGTATCTTTTTAAGGCTCTGAAGTTTATATTTCAAAACATTGGTTGCTTGCTTGTTTTAAAAAATGTTGGGCAGGCAGTAGTGGCACATGCCTTTAATCTCAGCACTCGGGAGGAAGAGGCAGGTGGATCTCTGTGAATTCGAGGCCAGCTTGGCTACAGAGTAAGTTCCAGGGAAGGCGCAAAGCTACACAGAGGAGATACCTTGACTAGAAAAACCAAAAAAAAAAGTTATCTATTTATTCACCCTAGAGCCCTTCTTATTACCTAGCCTTTCTGGGCTGTGGGTTGTAGGTTGATTATCCTTTACTTAACAGCTAATATCCACTTATGAGTGAGTACAGACCAAGTGTGTCTTTCTGAGTCTGGGTTACCTCACTCTGGATAATTTTTTTCTAGTTCTATCCATTTGCCTGCAAATTTTATGATGACATTTAAAAAAAAAAACAGCTGAGTAATATTCCATTGTATAAATATACCACATTTTCTGTATCCATCCTTCAGTTGACGGACATTTAGGTTGTTTCCAGTTTCTGGCTGTTATGAATAAAGCCACTTTGAACATAATTGAGCAAGTGTCCTTGTTGGGTAGGATGGGATGTCCTTTGGGTATATGCACAAGAGTGCTATAGTTGGATCTTCAGGTAGATCGATTCCCAATTGTCTGAGGAACCACCATACTGATTTCCATAGTGGCTGAACAAGTTTGTATTTTCACCAGCAATGGAGGAGTGAACCCTGCAGAAGAGGGGGAGGAGGAATTGTGAGAGCCAGAGGGGTGGAGGACACTGGGAGAATACAGCCTGAAGAATTAGGGCTCAAGGGGGCTCACAGAGACTGAAGTGGTAATCACAACCTGCATGGATCTCTGCTAGGTCCTCTACATATATGGTATGGTTGTTGGCTTGGTGTTTTGGGGGGACTCCTGACAGTGGGAGTGGGGGTTGTCTCTGACTCTTTTGCCTGCTCTTGGGACCCTTTTCCTCCTACTAGGTTGCCTCATCCAGCCTTAATATGAGGGTTTGTACCTAATCTTATTGTAATTTGTTAAGCCATGTTCAATTAATAGCTCTAAAGGTCTTCATATCCCCCCCCCTCTCTCTCTCTCTCTCTCTCTCTCTCTCTCTCTTTCCTTTTTCTGTCTCTCTTTGTCTCTGTCTCTCTTGGAAGGGAAATGGAAATGGAAGAGGGGTGGATTTGGGGGGAGAGGGGAGGTGACAGGGAACAGGGAAGAGTGGAGGGACAGGAAACTGCAGTCAGGATGTATTGTATGAAGGAAAAACATAAAAATTATAAAAGAGAAAATGCTGTAATTCCTTTATATATATATATATGTATGTATAACTATGAAAGTGTCAACATTCAGTGAGTTTGTATCTTGAGAACATGTTTTTCTTTTTGTGTGTGTGTGTCTGTTCTGCAGTATGGCATGCAGCTGTACCAGAATTATATGCACCCATCCCAAGGTAGAAGTGGCTGCAGTTCTCAGAGCATATCACCCATGGTAAGGACCAAGGTTTCAAATCTAGACTTTATAATTATATTATCTACTGTTACATTACACTAGACATATAATTGTTGTAGTTTGTTTTTTGGCTCTTCTCCTTCTTTGGCTTCTAAATCTCCCCTCCCAGATTTCTCCTTCTATCTATTCTCTCTGCCTGCCAGTCCCACTTACCCTTTCTCCTGCCTTTCTATTGGCTCTTCAGATCTTTATTAGACCATCAGGTATTGTAGACAGACACAGTAACACAGCTTCACAGAGTTAAACAAATGCAACATAAACAAAAGTAACACACCTTAAAATAATATTCTAATACATATAATGTCTTTACATTTTGACTTTTGTTCTCAAATAAAGTAATTCCTTTGCAATATTTTCATATAGTGTTATAAAGAAGTTTTGGTTTTATATTTTGTATATGTTTGGTCTCTGTAATAAAAAAGAATACAGAAATATATATGAAGCATTGTATGAAAGCCAATAATTTTATGTGTTAAGTAAAAAGAATTGAAAGGATTATGTGAGCCATTCAGGGTCATTATGACATTTGAAAATTAGGTCATAATAAGATAACTTGCTGAGTATTTTTCTTGGCATTGTGGATTATGCCTTAATAACCATTGGTTTGAGTTGTAGATAGATTTCTTTCAGTATTAATTTAGTATTGTTATAGCCAAGTACCATACCATGATTTAAAATTTGAAGGTAGATTATGAATATCTAGGCTCTTCTGCATTCTGATATTTTAATGATAATTTTTTTTTAAGTTCTAGGCCCTTAAAAAGCCAGTTGCTTTCTGAGAAACCATAAAACTGGAATCTAGCCAGAATCTAGGTTATACATGACATTTGCACAGAACTGCTTTCCCATTTGTACCCTCGATGTTCATTCATAGCCATACACAGACACACATCTCAAGCTTTCTCTAGAACTTAATTTTCATTTGCTGTACATTAACACAAAAATTTATTTCTGAACATTAAGCTTATGTTCTCCTCTTTTTGCTGTAATCCTTGATATTGAGTGCATTCAAAATTCAGATGTATGTGCCTGCATTACAAATTAGTTAATGTGCATGTTTGAAATCTCTGTTTCCACTGAGGTTAAAATATATTCTTCATGGCTGTGACCAAGGAAGGTACATGTGTCCCACATATCAGGTAGCAGATGAAATGCCCTGCTCTAGGAATGAGGCATGAAATGATGTTGACTGTGGAGCCTGATAGAACTATAGAGAAAAAGGCCTCCAATTTTGTAGTGATATTCCATTAAGTGATAGAAAAATAACTTTTCATTTTGAAACATAATCTTATAAGCCTTAAAATAAGAAACTAAGGAATATGATGGATTTTATAAAAGCAATCTCTTTAAGGTGGGTGTTTTTTACTTTGTCAGCTTACTTTTATCTTTCAATCCACTCGTATATAAAAAGCACATTGAATTTTCTTATCTTAATCTTCTAAATCTCTCCAAATTTCTTTTAGGGTTTGAAGTTATTAGGATGAATTTGTTAACAGCAACGAAGCATTTGGAGGCAATTATTGTTTAATGTTCTTTTAATCATAGGAAAATGTTGTAATCAGACTCCTTTCCATTCTCATCACTGTCCTTAGCATGCAAGCATGGGGTCACTGTCACATTTGTCCATTGATATGGGGTAATGTGGAAAACGCTGGCAGTCAAGGTGTGTGTGAGAGACTTTAGTTACTTGATCACTATGTATAGGAAGACAAGCTCCATGAGTGACTCTTGTTGGGTATGGGGACTGAAGAGGGCAAGAGGTTCAGGGGCATGTGTGAGAAAGACCTGTCCATGGGGTGGCGCTATGATCAGGAAGGGCAGCGTTTCTGACTTTTATCTATGTGGTTCACAATTTCCATGGTGGAGACTTAGAAGCTGTGGGAGGCATTTTGCTCATTTTGGTGTCAGTGGAGGGCCCCACTTTTCTAGGTTATTATGGAAGAATTAGAAGCTTAATAGATGCCAAGCCCTGTCACCTACCTTTTGCTGCTTTTCATTTGGGGACTTCTTAATAGGAAGTCACATATAAAAGACAGGATACCCAGTTACACATTTAAAGGCATAGTCTATGATTTTTTTTCCACATATACATTTTGAGAAGAGAAATGATGAAAGGGATTCCTACACCATAATGAACATCATAGCTATAAAACTGCATATAGCTATCCCTCATTGGCTTTGAGATGAGGATCAGCAGCAGCCGTTTCACGACGCCAAACGTACCTGATTCTTCACAGGGCAGAGTAAGGATTCATGTGAAAGCAGGGCCTGTTGATAGGGCCCTAGCTGGAATGAGGAGACAGGAGAAATCGACCAGAGTTCCCTCTGTTTTCCACTTTTGACCCTGACCCACACATTCGAAACTAAAGTTCTTCCCTGTGCCTCCTACTTTGCCGTCAATAAAAGAACCCTAGACAAGACACAGCATGCCAGTTACCCCTTTTACCATAAGCTGTCTGCATGACTTTGGCTAGTCACTGGTTTCCTACTGTGCAAGATAAAGGGATTACTGTATAGTATTTGAGGGTTATCATATCTCTACTGTCCTGTGGCTCTGTAGGAATGAGATGAGATGACAATATAGGAGAAATTCTGTGCCCTTTTTGTAATGAGGGACTACAAATTGATCCAGCTTGCTCAAATGGGATGGTGTGCCTTGTAGCTAAACTCTTAAAGAGACAGGTTATGCAAACTGCACTAATAGTGGGTGGATCAGATTTCAAAGTGTGGGTTGGAAAATCCAAGCTAGTCCCAGGCCCCTTCCAGTTTGGAAAGAAGGCAAGGCTATTATAAGCATGGACTGCTTCTTGGGGAATGTCTCATTCATCCCCTAAGAAGAAGGGGTGAGAAAAGGAGGTGAATAATTGAGAAATTCAACCAGTTCTGAATGTTATCAGCACTGCTTTCCTATGTGAAGGAAATCGAGCTGAAAATGACCTTTCCAGGCTGTCAAAATCTGCTTCACTTCTATTTCTTTGTCCACTAAAGGTAAACTATTAATTTTTCATCCACCACCTGCCATTCCGTAGAAAACATTTGCTGCATTACTGTTTTCCCACGGTGTAGTTACCATAGCAAAAACAAATGTTCTCTGCTTGTCTTCCCATCTCCTTGCATTTGCCTGGTAATTATGACCATGGGATCTTGTTTTACATCCTTGCCTGCCATATTGAGGGGAAGGAAAAAAAAAAAAAACACGAAACAACCGATTGTGTTTATGTCTTTTTCCTAACATCATTTTTATGTTATCAGAAACTTGAGAGTGCAGAACCATCTTGGCATGTGGAGGCAGAGATATTATAAGGATCAAGCTATCATTAGGATCGAGGCCAGTTACTCTGTGTTGGGGCAGGTGGATGATTTTCATTAAGGTCAGCAAAGCAGAGGCATATCCGACTGGTCCACAGCCCAGCACAGAAGGTCACGGGGTGAGAAGGGTAAACTAAAGTGGGACAGCAAATAGAGATTACAAAGACAGCATCAGCCAGGAAAGAGCAGCTGTCAGTAATAAAAACTCCGTGCAACAGACAGGGGATTGCAGCCCGGTCTCAGGAAGAGAGGGGAGCCATAATAAGGCTGCAGCTTCTCTCACATGTTTTGAAGAGAAAATAGCAGATGCTAATAAGTAGGGGTCTGTGATGCAGTGATAAAGGGACCCTAAATTCTTTCTTGTGGATAAACTTTTGTGTGAAGCCCACACGTGACCACAGTCGGTTGGCAGAATCCTCAGAGATCTATGAAACTGCACTCCCCAAAGGTCCCCGTGTGCAGCAAGACTTGACTTTACGGCCAGCACCCTACTTTGGAGTTCATTCTTTTAATAATTAATGGAGAATAACTTAAGTATTTCCCTTTTGTGCTGTTTTCTTTGGGGGAAGTTTTATGTTATTCCCGGACTTCAGAAAACAGCAAGACTCTTGGCTAGAGAGTTTGAAAATGATCTCTTTTCTGGACTCTTGACTTGGAGGGGTGATAGACTTTTTAAGAGATTTATTGCAAAATACCCATCCCGCAAATGAAACCAAGGTCCAGGCATTGGTTGTTTTATTTTCAGAGAATATAAAGCAAAGAATTAGCAATAAAACAAAACAAACAAACAAACAAATGGATGACCTTCTTACTTATCTAAGGCGGTCTTCATTTTGTGGCCCTATCTGTGGTTCAGGTTCATGCTTGTCATCCCCATTTTTCCATGTGTCTTCCCAAAGAAGGGAAAGGGTGAGGCATTGAACACAGATATTTTAATAGTATGGAAATGTCTGAATTATTATCCCACTAAATTTTACTTTCTAAATAAAATTAGAGTTGAGACAAGGGATCTTCAAAATAGATGTTCAAGTTGGTTCCATCATAAAACATGAGTACTTTTATTCAGCAACTATGATACATTTTAGAATGATAAAACACTGTAAAAAGCAGATTTCTCAGTACTTTCAAATTCCTGACATGGTATTCTTTGGGCTTGGGGAACAATAAATTACCATTCCCTAGAATTCTCAGAAACTTCAAAATTGTGTTCATTTTAAGGATACTTTTAAACAATCTCCACACTATTATATTTGGATAGCTAAAATTCATGTTTAAAGAATATGTACATTAAAGATTAATAATAAAGATAAAACATGAATACTAATTCTAAGTAGATTCTGGTTGACTTAAAATATACCCTTTGTAGATATGAGTTTTATAAAGAGCTATTCCAGGCTGGAGAGATGGCTCAGGGGTTAAGAGCACTGGCTGCTTGTCCATAGGACCTGGGTTTGTTTCTCAGTACCCACACAGTGGCTCACACATCCTCTATAACTCCCGTTCTGGGGAATTTAGTCTCTTTTAACCTCTCTGAGCACTATATGCTTGTGCTGCACTGATATACATGCAGATAAAACACAAAATAAAAGGCTATTTCGTAAGTAGTTGAACCTGACATTTAATTGATAATTTTTAAAAAGCTTAGAATTATGAACTAATGGATCATTTTAACATAAAGAGTTATTCTTTGCTCAATAGACATTTTGCCATCTTCCTGGAAAATATGAAGAGCTCGCTTTATTTCGGAGTTCTACTAAATCCATCCATTCATTGTTTACTTAGTTATCTTGACAGAAAACTCACTGGACTAATGAATGTTAGACCACCACTTTACCTTTTATATATATTTTAACTTTTAAATTTCTGATTAGCCACATTTGGAATCCTGTAGGAGGCACAGTTTAAAGAAAGCATTGAAGAAACAAGAATTGTTAAACACACAGGCCTTTTTTTCTTCAAAGGGAGAAAATGACTGATGCTTGGTCACCTAAAAGCTGGAGTGGATGTTGTCTAACAACCTATGATGTTTTTGCTATTCCATGGAGCCAGCCTCCTGGAAACCCCCAATATCCTGAGCATTGTTTAGGCTCTCATCTCCCAGTGAATAGAACCCATCCTTATGAAAAAAGGTCCCATGTACCTTGCATCATGTACCAACAGAATCCATTCTTGTTCTTATTAAAATCCTTCCTCCTTAGGCCCTTCCCCTGAGTACTGTATATCAGTCAATAGAACCTATTCTTATAATAAAGGTCACAGGAGTTCCTAGGTAGCTATGCCTAAAGCTTTGTTGTGGTAATTGTCATGTGGAGACTTCCCCCAAAGTTTTTCTGTGCTTAAATATGTAGGAGAAATAAACTGTGAGGTCAGACTCTGGAAGTTTTGACCCAGCACCTGCTAAAGTGGTGCAGATCTTCACCTTGCAAGGGTCATTTCCCTGCTGGCCATGACACTTGCAGGGTCCCTGACAGAATCCCAGTCCAGAGTGGACACATATGGACAGAAAAAAAATGAAGGTTAGTGGTAAAATATATATTGATAGTTCAAATGTTTTTGTTCTATTGTTTGCATTTTTCAGAGAAGCATATCAGAGAATTCCCTCGTAGCAATGGACTTCTCAGGTCAGAAGAGCAGAGTGATAGACAACCCCACTGAAGCTCTTTCAGTTGCTGTGGAGGAAGGACTCGCTTGGAGGGTACCAATAACTTCATCTTTCTCAAATGGTTCTGACTTGAGTCATTTCACCCGAGAAGTTGAGATTTTATTTTTGTTTGTTTCTTTTTTTTTTCTTTGCTCAGAAGAAAGGATGTTTGCGCCTGGGGAATCACGGTAGCCCCACTGCCCCATCCCAGAGCTCTGCTGTGAATATGGGTATGTCTACTTTCAGTGTTTGTCAGTCAGTTGGTGGAAAACCAGATCGATGTTCCTCCAGATAGAGTTGCATGGGATAAGATGGGAAGTGCATGTAACGAAATCATGATCATGTCAGACAAACAAACTTTGTCTTCCTGCAGCTATCCATCGGTCCCAGCCATGGTTTCATCACAAAATTTCTAGAGACGAAGCTCAGCAGCTGATTATCCGGCAGGGGCCTGTGGATGGGTAAGTTTGATATTTGCAGTTTGAGTGATAATGTTTGGATTGTTCCCCCTATGAATGATGATTACGTAGCACATACTAAGAAATTTTAATTTTGACTTATCACAAAGGAGCGGTACTTTTGTTCTATAAGCACAGTTATCACAGTATTATAGCAGTATTTAATATTTGTGCATAAATAACCAAATAACTGGATACTTTATCTTTGACCAATTGGCATTAATATCCATTTTGTTTGTGTGAATGCCATCATCTCAGATACTAATTGATGAGTGGTAGCATTCAAATCTCTTTGATGTATCAACATTTTGGTTTGCATATATAATAGATATAATCCCTAATATATTTTATAGCATGGTGTTGTCTTAAATTGGGTTTCTTGGATAAGTTGCAAAATACATTAATTGTAAATTTTTTTGTGTATATTTTGAATTCTTGCCCCATTTATATTTCTTTTTATGTCTCTAAAATAGTATGTACCTATAAAATTTCTTTTTGGTGATATCTCTTATTATTTTTAATGAGTATAAGAGAGGAAGATAAAATAAATTGTCAAACATTAATAATCAGAAGGATTTTCTGTTTCACTTGGTATATTTCATTCACTTAGTATAATTCTACCCAGATTTCTTTCTCAAATATAGAGCAAATTGGGGAGGTGGGATGGGTTGCGTTGGTATTTGAAAGGAAAGAAAGCAGTATCCATTTAAACAAGCACAAAGATTGACTTAAGATGTTGACAGTTTTGAGGTTTTTTTGACACTGGCATTTAGATAAAGATGCACATTTACACATTTCATTTGACTCTAAGAAGAGATGTGACTATGTTTCTCTACATGAAGCATAGTCCTTGGGGTTATAAATTTGATGAGTTGCAGAGCTACAGAGAAGAGACCAAGAAAAAAAAAATACTTACCTAAGTGTTTTAGAAGATTACAATTCCAGTAATTTTAGAGTCCAGTATTTATAAATTAAATAAAATAATTGAATATGTTTCTTTAAATTTTTTTTTGGAAAGATGTGGTGGCGCCAAGTAGCCCACTAGGTGGTGGTGCTGATCTTCTTGGGAAGGGAAGAGAATTACAGCTTGCTTTACCACTGAAATGCCCTTTTGTCTCGTCCTCAGTGATGTCATTTCTGAGTCTTACACAGTACACACACGAAATGGATGCTTGCCTCAGACACTGGCTGCCTCTTTGCCCAGGCACAGTGAGATTAGTATTGGAGTCAGCAGAGGGACATCTACACAGTGTGCTTCCCAATAATTAATACAAAACTGGTTTTGCACAGCACTGCCAGTAAATACGTCTCCCTGCCTGGTAGTCTTTTTTCCTTAGGCCATTAGGCCACATCTTGCTTGTCTAGCCTGACATTATAAAGGTTTTATGCTGGACTCTTCAAGGTTAAAGTGCAGGTTGTTTGGGTGTTTCTTTTACTTAAAACATCTTTACCTAAACATTTCACAAACAATTTCTAGATTAATTTGTTAGAATATATAGTGGTAGAAACAAGAGGGCCTGCTGGAGAAGAAGGTCAACCACCCCCCCAAAAAAAACCTATTTCATTCCAAATAATTACCTCCTTTCAGCAGCCTGTCATGACCCGTCAGTTAAAATAGTGATGTCCATTCTTTATGATGGATAGCTATGTGGGAGTATCTAGTTTCTCAGTGAGAAAAGGACACAACAGTAATTATTGATGCCACTTTCACATTATATTGGCAGTAGTGATCATGCAACCTGACAAAAGGATTGTGTATTTACCCTACTATATTCCATTAGTATAATGACAGTTTTATTGTGTATGTTTATTACCTGTTCTTCGCCAAGTTGGATAGTCTTACCCATTGATCACCCAGTAAAGGAGGCCCCTATTTATATGTATGCTTTCCTGCATTTGTATACAATATATTTCTATGAAATCTGAGTATGAAGAAAGACACAATGAAATTCCTTCTCTCTCTTTAGAGTTTTCTTGGTACGGGACAGTCAGAGTAACCCCAGAACTTTTGTACTGTCAATGAGTCACAGACAAAAGATAAAACACTTTCAAATCATACCGGTAAGTAATTGTGACTTCAGGTTCATGGATTGGAGATGTTCTTAATGCATACGCTTTGGGAAACTTTGGTTTTCTTTTGTTCCTTTTATTAAATACAATTTGGGAGCTTGTACTTTGACTAGAGTTAAGTTTGGCAGAAATGGTTTTATGAGCCTGAATTAATATAAGAAATACAGGAATTGTAAAAATTAAATTTCTCCTTTTCTACAAAATATGATTTAGCAATACTGCGTAGACCTCATGCCACCTATTGTTAAAGGCCACTAAAAAGTCCTCCTTTTGAATGTCACTAACAGATTTTTACAAAGCAGTTCTTGAAAGCCCTGTTTGTCTCCTTCCTCCTCTCAAAAATATATGCTTTTGTTGTTTCCCATTAACTTCTTTTTAGCCATAATGAAATCAAAGATGTGGCATTGCTAACAGGTATCTAAATTAGTCTTAGAACACTAAGAAAATATTTGTCATAGCCTGCTTTGGTGTTTCTGCTGTATTGCTGATACATGCTGATATGTGTGCATGTGTGTGGTGTGCACACTGGAAACCCACAGAGTGGCAGAGATAGGATCCCTCCTTAGGAAGCTATTTTGTAAGATTGCTAGAAGTCTGGCGATCACTCCTGAGTTGCCTCTTTCTGGATTTTTCCAATAGCTGATTAACGTATCCTCCCTGCTTTGTTGATTATTTTTTAGTATGTGATCAGCAAACCCAGTAAATAAGAAGTGATCCATGCCCAAACACATGACTAAAACAAAAAAAAAAAAAAAGAAGAAGAAGAAAATGAAAACAACTCTAAGTGAAAACATTGAAGTTTTTTACTTAGTAAAGAGTACAGAATCCTCACTGTTGATAGGCAATCAATATGTTATCATTATATAGAACACTGGGAAAATTAGGAGAGAAAGAATCAGACTACTTAATCAAAAAATAGATACTGCTTTCAAATGCAAGAGATGTTCCCAGGAAAAGTGGCCATGGGGCTGTTTTCATGGTCCTTAGTTTTATATGCTTGTTGATTTAGTCTTATGAAAATGTAGTGTGCAGAGGACTATACTTGCTGTTCGGAGTATTTATCACCTCCTTTGTTTTGTTTTAAAACATTTGCTCATTTGGTCATTGTTTTTTCTTTCACTGGCTTGTTGCTTGTCCTCGTGAAGATGGAAGATGATGGTGAGATGTTCCACACCCTGGATGAAGGCCACACAAAGTTCACAGATCTCATACAGCTGGTGGAGTTCTATCAGCTCAACAGGGGTGTCCTTCCTTGCAAGTTGAAACATTACTGTACTAGGATGGCTCTTTAGCCAATCTGTATGTGACTCACTAAGAAAAAAAAATGGAAGAAAAAGGTTGCAAAGAAGAATGTTTAAGGAGAGATATAACAAATAGGCTGAAATTAAACCATGGTGAAAAGAATATTTCACCTTTGAGTACAAAACGGTCATGCATTGAAAATTATTGAAGACTTGGATTGGTATTACACTCATTACTTAGAATTTATTAGTTAAAATTAAATCTTAGTTAAAAAAATGACTTGTTTGTGTTCTTGTGTGATTATACACTCCTATGGTATTTTGCTAAATGTACAACTTTAAGCAGCGAATTGTCTTTATTTACTTTTGTAGCATCAAAGTTTTCATTATGCAATATGAAGGAGAAGTTGGGGGTTGGTACAGGGTTTGGAAGCACATACTTTAGACCCTGCCCTGATGAGGCAATGACATAACAGTCGTGAGTTCAAGGTCTGACTGTGCTGTAAAGTGACACCTTGTCTCAAAGAACAAGGTGTCAGGATGTAGTCAAGTAGTTTTGCCAATGCTTGAGGTCCTGGGTTTGATCCTCAGCACAGCCAAAAGTGAAAACCAAAAACTGGTTCAGAATAATTTTTTACACACTGTATTTCGGCTATGCTACCTTAAAAATATTAATAAGTATAATAAAAGCTTGAGTTATCAATTAAATGAAACTACCTACAACTTGTTGACTATAATTATAAACCATTTTGAACTAGATGTATTTCTGAGTTTAAAATAGCCAAAAAAAAAAAAAAAAAGCAAACCATATTGTTAATTGGGAGCTAAATTATTTTTAGAAAAATTGATTTTTGTTGTTAATAACAACAAAATAATGTTGTTAAGTTAATGTTGTTAAGTCACTAGTTATACAAACTCTTTTAGTAATGTACCCTTAGTTGCATATTATTGAAATATTTTCACTTATTTATTTAGTTATTTAATTTTTTTGCTTTGGTGGAGTGATTTATCTTTAAGGAAATAATCAAAACATAGAAAAGGTTGGCATAATTAACATGTACTTCAAGACATAATCTATGATTCTGTGACTGGTCACCCCAATATGTCACATTTATCTCATGTTCTGGTTTACACCATACTCTAGATCCTTTACCAAATCATTTTTCCAGTCAGAGCAGGTAAAATGAAAGGTTTCAAATCTAAAAATCCAAACAGCTAAATCCATTTTTTTCCTCTTCTTTGTGTGCTCTTTTTTTAGCTTCTCACTATGGTAGCTCATCAATTTGCAAACCTGAAACCCTGAGACACTGTCCCCCCTCATCATCTCGAGAGCTTTGGGAAAGAATCCTCTGCCACCACCCCTTCCTCCTTTGGCTCCTCCTCTTTTCTCTCTTCCTCTTGTTTCTTTCTATTTTGATGACTCTTGTTCTCTTTGGGGGCATGTTAATAGTTGTTCTTAAAAAAAAATGACTAGAAACAAATCACCAGCAAGCATTAATATATCTTTTTTTTTTAAAAAAAAACTGGCCTTTGTAACAGCACCATGGGAAAGTTGAAGATTTCTTTAAAAATATTTCAGAAGTGCATACTTTAATCTGAGATAACAGTGATGTATTTTTGGTAACAGAGCATGGAAAATATTCCCAGGATGCTATTAAAATCAGTCATTACTGAGATATAATTATTGTCAAACTTATGTTGAAAGCTTAACTCCTGAAGTACTAAAACATAGGCCATTTGTCTGTTATAAAATACTGGTCTGGCTGGGCGGTGGTGGCACACGCCTTTAATCCTACAACTCAGGAGGCAGAGGCAGGCAGATCTCTGTGAGTTCGAGGCTAGCCTGGTCTACAAAGCGAGTTCCAGGAAAGGCGCAAAGCTACACAGAGAAACCCTGTCTCGAAAAAACAAAAAAAAAAAAAAAAAAAAAAAATCCTGGTTTGGTCTCTTGGAAGGCATAAAAATACAAGATCATCAAGTGTATCAGTCCCTCTTCACCTTCCAGAACAGGTCTGAGTAGATCTGATTTATTTCCAATTTATAAATAACACTTTATGTTTTGAGTTAGAATACATTTTATTATTTTGTAGACAGTCCAAATAGATAATATGATAAAACTATGCTGTTTGCAATACTAAATCCTAATCAATTGACCAATTTGTGTTTGTCTTTGTTATTTATGTCTCTGGCTGTATTCATAATTTACAGATATTATAAATCAAAGAAAATTATTGAGGAACAGTTGGTGAAGGGAAATCATTAGTTTTTATTCCTTCTGAAAATGTGTTTGTGGGGGTGAATTTAATGTGATGTTAAATCTGATGATGTCAGACACATCCAGTTGCTAGAGAAGTTCAATGTATTCTCTAGAAAATATGAATTGCCTTCAGATTATTTTCCACTTTGATTTAGTTCTGTTCATTCAGTTGGCAGTTTTGGATATGGGTGAGGATGAATCAATCTCATTCTTCTCTGTCTGTTCACATGTTGCAGCAGTATGCTCTACTCCTTCAGAGAGGGGAGGGGAGGGCACCTGTTCTCTGTTCTTTTGTGTCCCCTAAAACTTAAGGATAAGAGCGTTATTATGAAATATTTAAATATCCAAGAAAACAGGATAATAATTATTAGGAGTGTTTTATTTAAAATTGCTTGTTTCTGTTAGAGTATAGGCCTTGGCTAATATGAATAGACTAGTTTGGTATTTTGGTTTAGCTTTCTTCCAGAGTGCTTACCATTAATTAATCAGAGTCCTCTAAGGCTTCTGACTTTTGAACACCAACAATGATAACTGTAGACATTTTAATTGTATGTTTAGTTCTCAGATTATACTGTTTATGAGGAGGAAGAATTGTTATTGCAAAGTTACAGAGCAGTTCCCAGAGCTGGCCTCCCTATTTAAAAAGCTGTTCTCTCTATTGCCAGACATTTGTAAGCTCTAAGGTGCTCTGGATTCATCCAGTGGTTAGGTGAAGCTTATGGACACCTTTCATAGAATGCCTTGAAAAGTGAATGATAAATATAATTCAAACTAATTATGTAGATATATAGTTCTGTATCTTCCTGCATCTAGATGACCTCAGTGCAAACCCTGATATACGGTTTCTTTTTGTGTCTACTTCTGGAATAGTGTTTTCTATTTTCATGTAAATCCTCTAGGTTTCTACCTTGTGTTTTCTAGAAGCTCAGTGGGTGACTCACAGTTCTGCTTATACTACCAGTAGGGTAGAATAATTTTTTTTGAACACAAGGTCCTTATAACATTTGCTGAACATTCATCGACAGCTTCATGCCTACTCTGGGATGTGTCATCTTTGCCAGTCTTGGCTCCCACTTTGCCCATCTGTGATGTTTAGGAATGCACATAATTGGGGTACTACTAGTAATGTCTCCATCTGAATGTTCCTTGGGCTATAAGTTTGGTATTTGCATAAAAGAAAGGCCAAACTCTTGGCTGAGCATGTTTATGAAATAATCACCTTGAAATATATTGCAGAAATTTCTCAAGTGTGTTTCTTTCCAGTATAAATGCACATTTTGTAGCTGTAATGCCATGTGATCAGTTCTTCATCATGCCAGTTTCCCTACTAAGTTTACAAAATTCCCAACTTTCTAATTCAGCCCCACTCAATACACAAGCAGTAGGGATCAGGGTTAAGATGATAGTTCAGGTTTTACAGTATATGGGTTTGAATTCCAAACCATTTCCAGTGGCTGTGTAGCCCTAGCCAAATAAGTTTTTTTTTTAAAGAATTATTTATTATCTATATAGAAGAGGGTGCCAGATCTCATTACAGATGGTTGTGAGCCACCATGTGGGTGCTGGGAATTGAACTCAGGACCTCTGGAAGAGCAGTCGGTGCTCTTAACCTCTGAGCCATCTCTCCAGCCCGCCAAATAAGTTTTTTTTTCAGCTCTGTAGTGTTCCACTACTGCTACCACCACTATCATCCTTATCATCACCGCTACTTCTTAAATTGTCTTGAGAGTTAATTAAAATCACTCATTCCTGACAGTGGCTGCACACCTTTATTCCCAGCACTTGGGAGGCAGAAGCAGGCAGATCTCTGAGTTTGAGACCAACCTAGTCTACAGAGTGAGTTCCAGGACAGTCAAGGCTACACAGAGAAGCCTGTCTTGACAAACAAACAACAAACACACAAAAAACGACTCATGAAAATTGTTTAGCAAATTGTTTAGAATCTCAATTTAGAATTTATATTGCATTATTGACTGTACATTTAGGTCCACTGCTTCCCAGAGACATCCCTCTTTTTGTATAGTAACATGGCTTTGCTACCCCTCTTTGGCACTTCATGCAGGAGCAATACATTGCACTTTGTATGGTGTGCCTCTATGCTTGGTCTAGGCTCCCTCCAAGGCTGTCTCTTGAGCACTGTTGCTGGTCCTGCTCCTAACTTCTGTAGGGCCGGCGAGGATAGCCAGACTGTTTGTACCAGATCCTACAGAAGTCCTTAATTGCTTTCACCCACTACATAGGACAATGAAGATGAATTTGGCATCTCAAGCGTCGAATCCTCCATCCAAGTTATGGTGACTGATATAACAGGAAATACAGAAGGATGAAAACTCATTTTGGACACATTGCATGGACAGTGTGGAGAAAGAGGGAATGCCAGGTTAGGTGGGGAAGGTGAAAGAACTCTTCCTAGTGCTTTTTTTCAACACTGAGGAATTAGGAAATTGCACACAAGTGCCATTCCTCAGCCTGGTTCTATGCTCAGGCCTTGCCTTGCCAACTTTGGAAGCTTTTGCAATTAGGAGCAGAAAATGTTGTTATTGCCTATGTGCTGTTCCATTCCCTCCAGGATGGACTGAGTGCTTGTTATATGACAGCCACTTTTAGACATGCAAAGGTGAGAATCAAGCTATTGCATCGGCCCTAGAAGGCAGACTAAGTGCTGCACTTTAGACAACAGGGGGACATTAACTATGCTTGAAGGAAGATGGGGAGAGTGAAGTTGGGTCCTGGAAGGCCAGTAGGAGGTAGGTATACAAAGCCTCTGGCAAGGAATTGTACAGTGTCATCGGAGGACTGCAGGACAGTGCCAGGCAGCGTAGAAATGCTGTGGATAGAAGTGAAGAGGTTTTCAGCACATGATAGTAGCCTCGTGGTAACTGAAGCACACAGGCTACGACAACAGAAGAGTTGTGGAAAACAGGACTTGAAAGCCTTCTGCATTAGAGCGTTTCGCTGTGAGACAAAGAGGGTTTTGCCTTTGTTAAGTGAGACTACATTTAGGTGGTTCAGTTTTTTTTATT